AGAGAGAGATTAGAGGGGAGAGAAAGGGAGGAGAGAGAACTTGCTTGTATTTTTGTTCAGGATGGCTTAGGGAATCCCATTATAAGATTCCTAAAGCATAATTTCTAGAAAGATGCTAACACATCCTCAAAATGAGTACCTTTTTTCCTTCACAAATGAGTGTGCTCTCCTATGGTTCTCTTTAACCTCCGGGACCATGCTGGTAGAAGGTGAGTGGTCCTGTGTCCCAAATAGAGGACATAGCATTGCTTCATCAGACTGTGAATGTGAGCACCATGCTATGATCACAGCTTCAGAAGACTCAGCATCACCCGCAGTATCCTGCTTCCTACCCCTGTGTCCACAGCTCCCTGTTCATTAGGAAACATAGACCATTCCATTTTACTTATTTATTTTGTTAATAAAATGTAGTGAGGCATATACGGTGATTTTTCTGTTTGCTAAGAGTTTGGGAGAGTTTTGGGTAATGTTTTTTTTTTTGTAATATCACTGAATTGACATTATTGCTTGAGTCTACAGGACTCACCATGTTAAAGACAGAGATCTACTGACTTGATTGTTGTGTGTCTATGAGCAGCAGAGATACAGGAAAGGGTTTCTAGGTGGCCCAGGGTGAGAACATGGTAGATGTTTTCTTTTTACCACTTTCTCCAACATGGCTGCTGGGGAGTGGCTCCGGTATGCAGTGCTATTTGGGAGCTCTGTCTTCTGCATGCTGCATAAGGGAATCTTTGTATCACTTCCAATCCTGGCATGAAACCATGCTAGCTTGATACCAAGTTCATTCCACTTTAAAGAAAGGGGAAGTGGCCATATTTAATACTTTACCAAATATAGAGTAGAAACTTTAGATGATAGTTTAACTACAGAAAAACTATTTTATGTTGAAAAAGTATTACTTGGATGCCAGTTACAGTAGAACATCCCTAACTTCAGAACTAGACTGGACCTTGAAAATGTTCAGCTCTTCCGGAGAACCATAGGCTGTGTTGCAGCTGGTCCCTCTAATTTTCTATCAGTTCATTTGTAGGTAATTGTTGAACATCTTCTTCATGCCAGGGCTTTGGTTGGTACCCAACTGCAGTAAGCACAGCTTAGACCTGTCTCTATGAGTGAAAGATCCACAATTGAAGATAATGGGGAAGGTCTCCTCCAAAATGTCTTAGCAATAAAATTGAATTCTAGAAGAAAGGACCATTTAGGTTTAATATTGAAGGTCAAAAATCTATTTTAAACTCAGGATCACTTATTGAGCTTAAAAGTAATAAGGCTCTTTCATTTAGAAGCAGGCCAGGTCCATGGTGGTGCATTCTTACATGAGTTGTTAATGACTTCATATCTGCTTTAGAAGCCACGAGTGCATGAGTCTTCCTTCCTGCATGGAGGAAAGCATTTGCATCCTTTGGCTTTGACAAGCAGCCTGTACTTCTGCTGAACTAAGCTAATGAAAGCTTTACGTCAAGAAACTACCAATCAAAATAAGCTAAAAACTCATATATGACATCCTGAAACACCTCAAGACATACTCTGGCTGCTGAAATAATTTGCCTGCCTTTGGCATATCATTTACTTATGAAATTTAAAACGAATTGCATAGGTTGTGCTAATGGATCATTGGACAGAAACTTTACTGTATTTCCTTTAGGAATAAAAATGGAAACTGTCTTTCCATGCCAACATATGGATAGGCACAAAATACCTGTTGAAGTTTAACTGGAAAACTCCCTGGTCCTGACGTGAGTGTGTGAAGCCCACAGTCAGGTGTGCTATGATGGACAGAGCTGAGCATTTCCCTGGATGTCTGCCAGCTGATGAGTCACTGGCCCCACAGAGGCTTTCCATTCCCCCTTACCTCCTCAACTCAGATGTAGAATGGGCCTACTTAGTGCTTCTCTGCTCCCAAACAGACAGGCACAGCCATCCCAGAATTTTCCTACTCCAGGAAATGAAAGCTTAAGTAATAACCGTAGCAGATCTATAACTGGCTTGCCAGCTCATAAAAACTGTGGATACAGTAGAAGCAGTAATTTGGATTTCGTCAAGCTTTCCTGCTAACAGTACCACAGGTGAAAACCAGCTCAGTAAAAGGAAAGAAGGGAGGAAAAAGAGAAATCTTGATCACAGATACTCTCCTTCGTACTCAAATGATACACAGATCCGAGCGAGGGAACCCACTCCACTCACCTTGGTTCTTGAAGGAATCATCAGGTGCTTGCCTGATTGTCTTCAGCCAAAGGTATCAAAATCATCTAACAGGTTTTAGGATTTGAAACACCGAGCACCTGAAGCACACTGTAGGTGCTAATGAAAAAGGTTGCCTTTCACTGCTCTACAACATTAAACATTATGGTACTGGACAGAGTCAGAACCTCTGTGGTGAACATGAAGGGCATGAAGAATTCATGTATAAAAACTCCCTCACCAACACCAGAAGTTCGTATTTTGGAATCTGGGGATTTGATTTCCTGTAAAAGAGAAATAGGCTTTTTTGGAAAGTTACACATATTCTATCTGTTCTAATAGCATGACAACAATGATGAATTCATTCTTACTGGTTCTCCCGCTTGTAGCTTGCGTTGGGCACTGAGATCTTTGAAAACATTGCATGTCTGATGTACGATAGTTTGGACTGGAAGAGGCAGCATCATCACTATTTGCAAAGCATGCAGCTCATCAATGTCCCACAGGTGGTTAGTGAGAAGACCATGTTAGAAGCAATGACAATTCCAGAGGTAAGTAGGTGTGGGCTCTAGCATCTGTAGTAATCTTGGGGATCAAATGAGTGACTTGATTTTTTCATTTTTATAAAGCATATGAAGAAAAGGTTACAATAAAGCCCCGTGTTGGTGTACTACTGCCTGTTGTGTCGAGGTGTGAGGGTGGGAACAAGGAAATATCTCTTAGCAAGAGCAGGAAGAGCCGTGTGCTGAGGTCTTTATGAAGCTCTTTATACTGGCTAGTTTTATGTCAACTTGACACAACCTAGAGTTATCTGAAAGGAGGGAACCTCAACTGAGAAAATGCCTCCATAAAATCCAGATATGAGGCATTTTCTTAATTAGTAATTGATGGGGGAGGGCCCAGCCCATTGTGAATGGTGCCAACCCTGGGCTGGTTGGTGGTCCTGGGTTCTATAAGAGAGCAGGCTGAGCAAGTCATTATGAGCAAGCTAGTAAGCAATACTCCTCCATGGCCTCTGCATCAGCTCCTGCCTCCAGATCCCTTCCCTGTTGGAGTTCCTGTCCTGACTTCCTTCAGTGATGAATTAAAACATGGAAGCATATGCCAAATAAGCCCTTTTCTCCACAACCGGCTATTGGTCATGGTGTTTCATCAAAGTAATAGAAACCCTAACTAAGACATTTCTCACCTGGGAAAGCACAAAAAGAACCACCTGTCAGCTCAGGGTACAGTGGCCAACATGTAAAACAAGGAGAATATTGACAAAATAATCCTAGCGTTTGCAGTATTCATGCTCAGCAAGATGCTGGCCACATAACAGGACATGTCTCCTGCCCTATTTCCACAAGTGGAGTGTGATGTCAGAGTTTCAACATGGTGTGAGAGGAATGAGAGCAGCAGATACAATCAAAATGGTACCTGCCCTAGTTAGGGTTTCCAATGCTATTACAAAACATTATGGCAAAAACAGCTTATGGAAGAAGGGTTCATTTCATCTTGAAACTCTTGACTCACACTCTGTCACTGGGACAAGTCAGAGCAGAAATTCAAAGCAGGAACTGAAGCAAAAGCCATGGAGGAACACTGCTTACTGGCTCTTTGGAGTCCAGAGCATCAGAAGTGAACCCAGACATTAAGCATTAACCTTCTTACATTGATAAGATCTGGTTTGCTTTGACTCAGCTGTGATTGTGCCTTGATTTTTCCCTTTTAGAACAAGAAAATATTTAACTGGTTTTTGATTTTTACAGAAACCCACAGTGGAGAGACATTAGGCTTTTGAAGAAACAAAACTTTCAAGATCTTGAAATTTTTAAAGATTGTGGAACTTTTAAGAGGTTGATGTTGGGGTTGTGATATTGCTGCTAGTGTGAGATCTTGGAGTAAAAAAAGGGAAGGTTATTTCATAGTGTTGTATTCGTGTGTCAATCTTAATAAAATAATGGAGGTCAAATACCCTGGTTAAAAAATTGTTTTACTAGGCAAGTAAAGTGGTCAGCCTGGCACTAGCCATGGCCATCTCAGAAGGGAGAATTTCAATTGAGAAAATGTCTCTTTCAAATCGGCCTATAGGCAAGTCTAAGTGGCATTTTCTTGATTAACGATTGATGCTGAAGGACCTAGCCCACTTTGGGCAACGCCTTTCCTGGGCAGGTGGTCCTGTGGTATTAAAAAAAGCAGACTGAACAAGACAGTAAGCAGAGTTTCTCCATGGATTCTGCTGCAGTTCCTGCCTTGACATCTCAGTGATGGAGAGTGACCAGAGAGTGTAAGAAAAAAAATTAACCCTTCCTTCCCAAGTTGCTTTTGATCATGGTGCTTTATCAAAGCAACAGAGGCCATGAATGACTCAGACAGCACCTGAGCTGAAGAAAAGAAGGACTGGAGAGAGGGGGATCAGGGTTAGAGAAATGGGGGATGCCAAGTGTGAATTGCCCTGTGGAAAACTTGTTGGGACATAAGTGATAATAATATTCTGAAGAAATGAGGACAAGATACCCCAAGATGTGGATGCTATCATGACTCAAGACAAGACCAGGGGATGCTCTGTGTCCCGTTTGCTCTTTTCATACCCTCACTTCTTAGGATCCTGCTCGCGATCAGTGACATTTGATGAAAGCATTTCTTTTTAATTATTTTTCTTTCAGCCTCCACCACCAACTGCTCCAGCCCCTGGGAAGAAGAAAGCACAATATGAGGAGTCACATGCTCCACCACCAGGCACGTATGAAATCAGCTGCTGAGGTGCTACCTCCTTAAGACTTAAGTATTGCCCTCTCTTCTTCCCTTCCTCCCATCCTTACCACGGTCAGCAGCCCCTCCCCCTGCAGTGTCTACATTGATTCATGCCTCACAATTCTAAATTATGCACAGAATTTCAGGAAGAAATAGAGAATGCATCTTAACTGGGCAATGTCACTTTCTGCATTTGACAGTGGCTTTTATCATCACAACTGAAGTAGACATGAGGTATTACAATGACCTGCTGAATCCAATTCCAGAGGAATTTATTTCTGTGCCCATGATACTGCACTGCATGCTGGAACAGGTAAGTAGATGTTGAGGCTTCTCCCCTGGCAGCAACCTTGACTAACTTGTCTCTCTTCACTTCCAAACTTTAGGACGATTTTGTAATTATACTCAGAATGCCTGAGATGCAGCCCATTTATTAAGTCAGAATATTTCAAATAGAACTAAGATTTGCTTTAATTACCAACTTCAGTCTTTCTCTCTCTCCCTCCCCCCCCCCTCTCTCTCTAACACACACACACATTGGGCTCTAGAATCATTCATTTAAATATTCCCCAAAGCTTGGGTAGAATATATACTTAAAACTGCCCTTATATGGAGGTGCTGATTAGTTGATTAATTTTTGTTAGCTTGGCACAAACTAGAGTCATCTGGGAAAAGAGTCCCTGAATTAAGAAGATGCCTCCACCAAATTGGCCATGGCATGTATGTAGAGCATTTTCTTGATTAATGATTGATGTGGGAGGGCCTAGCCCACGATGGGGTACCATCCCTGGCCAAGTTATCCTGGGTTGAAGAAGAAAGCATGCTGAGTGAGAGCCATGGAAACCAGTAAGCTTCAGGTATTCACTTCAGTTCCTGTCTTGGCTTCCCTCCATGACAGACTGTAACCTGAAAGCCAGAGGAACCCTGTCACTCTCAAGTAGCTTTTGGTCAGTGTTTTTTACCGTGACAGAAAGAAAACCAAGACAGTAGGGTTATTCTAGTGAAAGAAGAAAAACACTGGGACAGGGGATCTGCTTATTAACGGCCTCTAATCTTCTATAAATATGTTTGTTTGAATGCCTTCATGCATGGATGTATATCATTTATGCAAAGGGACCAGTGAAGGCTGGAAGAGGCTGTTATATACCTTGGAAGTGAAGTCACAGGTGCTTGAGAGCTGTCTGATGTGGGTGCTAGCAGTATTTGTATGTTTTTTGGTTTTGGTTTTGGTTTTTTTTTTTTATGTGTACCAACTCCTTTGATTTTCTAGACAGTTACACTGATAGCCTCAGAAGGTTTTAGTGAGACCAATGGTTCTATCATGTCAATGCGTTCGAAAAAGCTCAAGTCTCTAAAACCCCTGAGCCTTGTAGTCTTGTGACTTTATTTACCATAGACTCTCCTGTTTCATTCAAATCAACTCAAAAACGGTGACTATTCCATAATCACCTACTAAATTCCCGTTAACCAGAAGGATGGCTGATGAGTCCCACCTTGCCCCCTCATCTGACAGACTCTCTGGAGATATGTGGAGATGAGTAAAGACCTGACAGTTACAGGGTAAGGAAACCAAAGTATTGAAGTAGCGGGATGCCACTTACAGGACAGAAATGGGGCAGTTTTAACTGTTCCTTTAGGATGCCAATGAATCCATGAAGTAATTGAAAGGTATGAAATAGCAACAGTAGTGTTTCAAAAGACTGAATGTCTCCAAAAGTTAAAAACAAAAAAACAACAACAAAAACAAACAAACAAAAAACCAAACAAACAAACAACAACAACAAAACCAGGACTCTTTCCTCCCAGATCGGTGATTCTCTACTGGGAGTGACCTTGCTTCCCTGTGGGCACTTTGCAGTGAGTGAAAGAAATTGGTTCAGGCAATGAGAAGGGGGCCACTTGCATCCCACAGAGGCTGCGGATGCCACTAAATACTCCAGTGTGCAGGGCAGCGTCCCCCGAAAAGTCCAAATACTCAGTCCAAAATGTCACTACTGCAAAAGGTGATCAACCTTGTAGAAGAGTACACACTTATAACAACAATGTGAATATTTAAAGGCAAAGGGACCTGTGGGGCAGGTACTACCAGGCAGAAGAACTGGTATGGCTAAAGCAGGTTCAAAACCCCGGTAAATGCTCCTGGGCAGACTCTACCTGTCTTGGAGCATGTGACCATGACACCCCACTAAGAGGACTGTGACAGCCAGTCACATAGCATGAAAGCCTAGAGTTCTTCATGCTAATGAGGTATCTAGATAAGCCCTGAGTGTTTAGTCAATGAGCTTCCCTTGCTAGGCATCCTTTTGTATAAAAGATATTTAATTCCTGGTTCACCCTGACTAAAATGTACGCATTCACATCCACCATGAATAAAACAGTTTGGACAAACAAGGACCATCTTCTTTATCAAGGATCACCTCACGGGTAGGAAAAGGCCTTCATCATAAAGAGGTACACCTAGATCTCCTATGGAAGGCCTTCCTTCCAGCCCCTCCATACTTTTGGCAGTTACTGGGAGCCAAGCCAGATTCTCCCCTCACAGGTCCCCACAGCATCTAGGTACACAGGAGATTGAGAACCATAGCATCCTTTCCTGATCTTACTGTTTCTTTCCTGGAAGGACACAGACTGGAACCCCATCTTAGACTGTGTTCTGCCCCCTGAGTGACATTCCTGCAGTGCTCCTGTTCTGAGCAGCGAGGCAGGAACACAGACCATCAGAAGAGTATTTGTTTATTGGATGTTCATGTTAAGTCTTTAGCTATACTCCAGCTTCTTTTACTTGGCACCCAAGCAAACCTGAACAAAGCTTTTAATCTTTCTAGACCTCCCTTTGCCCTCATTAAGGTAACAGTTATCTACCACTGATCTCACATTTGACAATTTTCGATATTTGAAAAGAGAAATGAGGACTTGGCCTGAAGTCTCCATTCCTCAGTTCAAATTGTGTGGAACTGGATTGACCATGAAAGTCACTCACCTCTGTGTTATCCTCTACCAAGCGGAAAATGCTCCCTGTGCCAGGCAGTGGCAATGAGGCTCAGAGGGGTGAGTGTGCATGCAGATGCCCCACAGTGCCTGGAAGGTGGCAAGCACACTGCCTAGATATACATCAAATCCAAAGTTTTATGAGAACCATCTTCAGGGCCCAATGAGAAAGAACGGATACTTAAAAACACAACCATCGGCATTGTAACTTTTACTATTATTCCTAACCCATGTTATCTATTTTAAGGCAGTTGTGAAAATTACATCTAATGCATGGATCACTAACATGTCTCCTTTATTTTTGGCATCGGTGACATTGTGCTGCCATGAGCACCAGTGCTTCAAAGGACAACCTCCTCCTCACTAAGAGCAACGGGAATGCATTCACATCCACAAAGAGCTGGGTACTAAACCACTTCCTCCCTACTGCCTCTCTCAATAGGTTGTAGCAACTGAAGAAGATCTCACCCCTCCGAGTTTGGTGGAGCCAGCCCCCAGAGCAGACGGGTTAGACTACAGAATTGCAGCTCACATTGTGTCGATCCTGCCTTCACTCTGCCTCTCCGAGAGGGAGAAGAAGGTCTGAACATGAGTGAGCCAAAGAGCTTTTGTACTTTGAAACAAACAAACAAACAAACAAACTGTGCATTATCTCATTAAATTGATATTATTTTAATTTAAACAGAATCTCCATGAGATATTCTTAACTGAAGGAGAGAGTGAAAGCAAAGCCCTACCCAAAGGCCCCCTCCTACTGAACTACCATGATGCGCATTCCCACAAGAAGTATGCACTGAAGGTAATAACCGGGCCACCTCCTTCCCGTAGCTGATGTAAGGTGTGTTTGTGATTCATTAGTTGGATGATCTTACCAACCAATGCTAATGAAATGCAGTGTGGAGGATAGATGCTGCTGACAGATGGGGTCTCAGAAACAGAAATGGACAGGAGCAAAGTATGTCAGCAAAGATCACTTGGCCTAATCACAGGGGTCCAGTTAACTACAAACCTGACTGTCACCACCATTACATGTGCATTAAAGCTTTATGGTCAGGTACTGAAAAATTAACTGAGTGGTTAAGAGTACTTGTGGCTCGTCCTGAGAACTCAAGGTAAATCTATTAAACTCATGTCAGGTAGCTCAGAACTGAGTGTAACTCCAGCTCCAGGGAGTCTTTTCTGGCCTCCAAGGACAAACACACACAGACATGCACATATGCACAGAAATGTAAGTGAATCTTGAAAATAAACTGATGAGCTGCTGCTATGAAATACTAGTGGAGGCCAACAGAGGATCTCAGAAAAGATAGAGAAATCCAAGCTTAGGCAGCTCGTCACCAGAAGTGGAGGCGCACTTGTGTCTGTGCTCCAGGAACTTCTGGAAAAATGAGAACTAGCTCTTTTAACCTTATTACAAATATGAATTTGTCATTCTCAGTTACTCCTGATTCCCCCTGTTTCCAGATGAGCGTGAAGCTATCACATTTGGCCCTCTCCGTAAGCATAAGGCATGTGACATCTCTTGTTAGTGTCTTCTGCCATGTTGCTTTCTCTTTCTTTTTTTCTTTTCTCCTTTCTTCTTTTTTCTTTTTTTCTTTCTTCTTCTTCTTCTTTTTTTTTTTTTTTTTTTTGGTAAGGACCAAAAGAATTTTGACCCAGTTCAAATTGAGCAGGAGATGCAGTCCAAGCTGCCGCTGTGGGAATTCCTCCAGTTCCCTCTGCCTCCTCCATGGAACAGCACTAAACGGCTTGCCACTGTTCATGAGCTTATGCATTTCTGTACGAACGGTGAGTACCTTGCTTTGGCTTATTCCCAATTTAATTACTAGCCCTTAAATTATACCCTTATTCCCAAAAAACATTTTGATCATCGAAAGGCCTTCCAGAGGCCTTGGCCATGTCACTAGCCATGTGGAGGCTCTGGCATGTAACATTATGCATTTTGATGAAGTAGATTCTCTTTCCACTGTGTTTTCTAAATCCCCTGAGCCATGCAGTTCCCCCTGGTGTCATTAGAGGTGATGCAATCCATCCTACTTACCAGGAGGAATGGTTCATGTATCTGCAAAAACTTAAAAATGAACAAGAACTTCTTGTCTCAAGTTACCATAGTTCCTTTCCCAGAAAATACACAGACAGACAGACAGACAGACAGACAGACAGACGATAGATGGATAGATAGATACAGAGAGAGAGAGAGAGAGAGAGAGAGAGAGAGAGAGAGAGAGAGAGAGATACAAAGATAGCTAGATGCAGAGACAGACAGACAGACAGACAGACAGACAGACAGACAGATAGATAGACAGACAGAAGGATGGATGGTTGGATGGATAGAAACAGATATAAATAGATAGGTATCATCAAGGGATGGCCCCCTTTACCATTGTAGAAATCCACACAAACCATACAGCACAGTGGCATTAGCTGTGGAAGGAGAGGAGAAAGCCTGAGCAGGTGACTCTGCCCCCAACTAAGCAATCATCATCCTGGAGTCTCATACTCCAGTTTCAAGCAACACAGGGCACCTTTGACTTCTAGAACTATGCTTAAAGGAAACTTGAAATATCTTTCTTGTATCTAGTCTGACTCAATAGATTGGGCACAACATTTATACATGTCAATCTAGCTGTACTGATAAAACGCAATCATTGAATGAATCTGTGTAGTAGATTGGGAAGTCTCCAGGAAACTTGTATCTGCACCCCATCCCGAGGAGCAAAATGGAAAATCTGTCTGAAGCAGATCTCCATCGATTAAGTGGGAAGCTGAGTTTCTACTCGACATTTGACAGAAGATTCTAAAGTCTGGACCATCTCTCTGTTAATCCAATCACTTGGTTCCCCTGGGGCTTTCCCATGAGTGGCAATGTGGCTGGGGTGAGAGAACAGAAGAGATCACAGGAGGCAACTTTAAATACAAACCTCTCTGTCAGTGTTCTTTATAGAAGTGAGGTGTTCGAGTCTCTCTGCATGTCGTTGCCTCTCGAATCCTCTTGAGAGCTTTCCTAACCTAGAATCAAGAATGTCCCTCGTCCCTCTTTACAAAGCAAGTTTTTTAGAACCACACATCTTAGCTATTCCTCCTTCTGCTCTGAGAAATGACATGTGGCCAGTTGTTTTCTTCTCTACACCTTAAGTCACTCCACAGTTCTTTTTTTTTTCCGGGTCAGAGAAAAGAAATAGATGGTCTGAGTCGTCAGAATTTGACAGAAGTGTCTATTTGATGGATTGTGAGCACTTTGTTGGATCACCTCTGCACAGGAGAGTGGGAAGGAAGGAAGAAATAGTGTGGTCTAGGGGGCAGGAGAGCAATCAAAAGTCCCTGTCCAATGCTATCCTGAGATAGAATTCAGAAAACAGTATTTATACCCAGAAATTTAATTTTTCTTTTTATTCCAGTACTGACTATTGAATCTATGACTGGGCATATGGTCGACAGGTTCCCTACCAGTGAGCTACACTGTCAGCTACAGAAATTGAAATATGAAGATATATTATAGAACCACAAAATCTCCTGGCTCAAATGAATGTTGAAATTTACATAGTCCAAATGTATTTCCATCTCATAAAAATATGAAATTCTGGCAAGCTAAACTATTTATTATAGGGTTGTAGTAATAGTATAGACCCACAATTGAAATTCTGGCCCCTGGGTGCTCTCACACGCATCCTTTCCTTATGTTGCTGAACTGAAGGGAGGGCAAACATCATATGATATCCATTTGCCTTCTTGGTGTTATAACTGACCCTGTTCCTACGGGTAGAGGATGAGTACACAGCCCCTTATCATCATACCACTAAAAACTGGGTAGATTCCAGCTAACCTTTTCTCATGGGAAGAAAGAAAGTAGGAGGGAGAGGACATTACATGATTGAGGAGGATGCTGGGGGATGACAGGAAGTTGAAAAGAGGAATAAGGGAGGGTGAGCATAATCAAAATCTATTTGTATGCATGTGTGAAAGTCCTAAAGGCTTTTAAAGATAGGGAAATTATAAATCAATATTTCTAATGAATATAGATGTTAAACTCATCAAAAAGATCTTAGCACACCAAAATCAGCTACACATTAAAACACACACACACACACACACACACACACACACACACAAACTAATCTAGAATTCCCTGTCATCTCAGTGTACTCTCAGGATTCTGTGCTGCAGACTGAACCCTGCAGTCACCATGTTTCACTTTTACTTACACCCCACACCCACTGCTAGGCTGGACCATCACATCTTTCTGGCCATATTCTGTGCTTTCACCTTCTCACTGAGATTCTTTTATCCATAGAAGGACCAGAACACCCTTTCTGGGATGTTCATCAGGTCATGTATCTTCTTTGACCCAAAGCTTCTAATATTCACCTGTTACATAAAACCAAAGCTATCTACCGTGCACTGAGAAGCCCCTCCCCTGCCAGTCTTTCATTGGCCTGTTCCACTGTGTCTACAATGGCCTCACTGATTCCTTGAAGTATCAGTCATACACAGACCTTTAGATCTCTGTCCTTGCCAAGTTCCAAGTCTCTTGTCACATGTTCCTTCTCTTTCCCTTGCCCCAGTCTCCTACGTATAAGACCACAGGCTTTCCACTCTCACATCTGATGTCCTGATTGGCTTCCTTTTCCATCGTCCATCATGTGCTGTTGTGTGCATTTGTCCCTCTTCAGTTACTATAATGATGATGTACGACAGCTAGGAGCCCATCACTTTACTCACCAGCTTTCATTGCAGTTGCTAATACTCAGTGGGTTCTCAGGAACGTATTTATTATTATTACTTTTGTTTGTCTGTTTTGAAATTAATTTGAGGCTGGCACAGAATGCATGATAATCCACCAGCTTCAGGCTGCTAACTACTAAAATTGTAGGTGTGCACCACCATACCCAGATCAAAAAAAAAAATGTTTATTCAGTAACTCCTTTGCCTCTTTCTTAACTCTCTTCTAGATCCCTATGTTGTTTTTCCATGTTGTTCAATTCATCTTGGGCGGTAGGGTACAGAGAATGAAGATAATCTAGGAGTCATTAATCCAAAACAATCTATTTGACTGTTATTTTACTGTAATCTCATTGAATTGTTTTTGTTAGTATCTACCCCACAAACCTCCATCTTGAACTTTGAAAGTTTAAGAACTAAATCATGTTCTTCTTTGAATCTTAGGCACCTGTGGCAAAGCCAGAATGTCACTGAGAGCTTTGTGACTATATGCTGAACACAGTTGAATAGAGACAACTGATAAACTTTAAAGTGCAAACATGGAAAGTAGCAGTTCTTACATTTGGCTTTTTCTGAACCTGAATGAATAGGAAAATCTTCTAAGTATTGTAACCTGTAGGAGACACAAATGACAAATTCCAAAAGGCAATTTATGCCCATAAAATCTTAACTATATGGTATTTAAACCAATATGGTACCCTGAAAAGTTCAGGCATGTTAATATGGGTACCAAACACTATGAAGCTGTTTGGGGGAGTGTCTCTCAGATCTCTTATATCTTAACTGTGATTTTCTTAGTTCCCAGACCTTTGATATTTATTAAAGACTTCTGAATCCTGTATTTAAAGTCAGGCCAACACCCATGATGACCTGAGCCCCTGGTGCCCCTCAGTTACTCCTGTGTCAGCCACATATCGTGTATCACTAACAAGAGTCGTTCTTGAGGCAGGGGTCCTGCTCTTTTACAGAAGTTCTGAGCTGGAATGAAGTAGAACGAGCCTTCAAGGTATTTACTTTTGAGAGCCTGAAGCTTTCAGAGGTTGATGAAACAGGAAAGCTCAAGCCCACTGAAGTGATCAGTGAGACAGATGTTGAAAATTTCAACATTCCTTGGGACAACCCTGCCAGATTCGCTAAGCTGATAAGGCAACAGTACGTCCACAGGATGACCATGCAGAAGGCCAAGCCAGTAGTCGTAGGTACGCTGCATGAAAGGGATGGGGTGGGGCAACCATCCTGGTACTGTGTCTAACAGATACTCTTCATCCTGACTAGATACTGAAAACAAAGACAGAATACTATTTGTGAGCCAGAATTTTGCCAAAGCTGAGCAAGAAGCACAAGGAGATGAAAATGCCCCAAATTCTGATCAGCCTGCTGCTAACAGTATGACGTGTTCTACTTCTAACTCCATGAAACCTGGGTACTCTAGTAATAGACAGTTCCCAGAGAAAGAAACCAGTGGGTTCATGTGTCCCCAACCAGAGTTCGTGGGTAAGTGAAAGTGTGCATAGGCACTGCTATGCTTAGACAGAAATAAAGAAACAAGTTCAGAAAGTATCACTTAAATGTAAGTGCTTCTTCAGCTGATTAAAAAAAAGATTCAATATTTAAGTAACTAGTTAAGAAAACATACTGAGTCCTGCCTTTTCAATTCTGTTTTTCAAGGGATCCTCTCAGTTCACTCTTCCCATAGAAAACTCAAAAATTAATTAATGCGTTAATTAATTAATTTAAATTTTTTAATTAATTAAACTTAATTTAATTAATATAGCAAACATAATTGTAAAGTTCACCATCAGTACTTCATGATTGCTTGGTAACAGTAATTAAAAATTACATATAATGATCTAACAAAATTCTACATATAGAACCTGCCATGAGACCAGAACTCAGTTCCTATCTTAGCTCAGGACATTACTCTAATCCTCGGGTACAACCCTGTAAATAATGATGTTAGGAGGGTACAGAAGGGTGCTGGATTAAATTTGCATGTGCTGCCTTACACACTGCTGTCAGAAGCCTGCCTGAGACACAGCTCCTTTGTTCCCTGCACATCACTTTCAGCAGCCCCCTTCTACCTTCAGAGGAGACTGTGCCCTGCTTCACACACCTCTGGTACAGCACTCCTTATCCTAAAACCTCTTTGCATTTTGTCCATTTTTCCCACACTCTGTGCCGTATCCAAGAGATGTCATCACTGAGCTGCACTTCCCTTATGTCTTTGTGCCTTGCTACTTTCTGTAATCATTTATATGCTCAGTAAGGCCTCCACAACCATAGCTTGTTAAAGGTCATAACTATGTTGATTTATGAAATACCAACTTTCTATTGGGCTGTATAACAAATTGCAGCAAATTTACAGGACTGAAATTATGCAGAACATATACTCTCATAATCCAGTGACATAGTGGATGTTAGTTACAAAAATGATAAGAAAGTACCATGTGACTGAAATTAACAACTACACATACATCTCACACCTGGGTGAAAGCAAGGGTTACAATAGGGATTAGGACCTATTTCAAACTGAGTAATAGTGAAAATACTGGGTATAAAAAATATGTATAATGCAGCTGAAGATCATGCCTAGACACTGACAGCTTTGAATTACGAATTCCGAAAGAGTCTGAAAGTTAAAAAGTTAACTAAACTCCAGCCTCAAGTTATTTAGCTGTGTGCAAAGGGCACAGTAAAAAATCACCAAGGTGGCTGGTCGATTATTACAGGGGAGGTATTTTTTTAAAACTATGAGAGAGAGAGAGAGAGAGAGAGAGAGAGAGAGAGAGAGAGAGAGAGAGAATGAATTCAGAAGTGGCATCTGGAAAAGTCCAGAGCAGAGAGAAAAAGGGAAAAAAGGAACAGACTGGATCTGACCAGTGCTAGAGAAATAGAGTATGAAAAAAAAAACCATGTAGGTTGTAAGGAAGATGAAGAGCTGGGAAGGAGGGAGCTTGTGAGCTTGAGAAGGCCTGGAGTGTAGGGTAAAGGGGGAGACGAGAAGATGAAGGGACTTCAATGTGCAACTGGTCCTTGTGGATGGGGACTGAAGGACCCTGGAGGGCACTGTGGGCTTCGATATGAACCACAGGTACATGTCAATGGAGAACCCTGTATCCCTTCAGCAAGAGGTAAGGGGAATAACTTCTTTTGGCAGACAGACAGGCAACTGTTTCACAAGTTCCCAAGGAATGCTGGCTTTTATCTAACCACCAGAAATCCTCCTACAAGTATAGGTTCTTAGGGATACCTGACATCAAGAATGAAAAGAATACAGAGGATAAAGTCAGTGGTGAAGCCCTTGCCTGGTATCCCCAAGGCTCCAGGTTCAACCCCCACTGCCACAGGAACAGAGAGGAGGCAAAACAAATTTATTCTACTAAATTTAAAAATGAAATGGGCAAATTACTGAAATTTTGAAATTTACCAAAAATGATCAAGCAAGAGGAAACCTAAACATTCTTGGAAGCAAATTATTTAGTCGTTCAAAAATCACCCTGTGTACTATAGAACCAGCCTGTAGGTGGTATGCAATTGGCAAATGATACCAAACCCTCAAAAACATAGACCATTGAAATCTCAACAAAGATTATTCCAGAAAATATAAGGTACAATATCCTCCCTTGGTAATTGTGTAAGATTACCATAAACATTGTAATGAATTTTACCAAGATGGTCAGAAGAGAAACAAACTCAATAATGAGCATAGATATAGTAAAATATGAGAAAATCTATTGGGAAGACACTATACAATAATAGTATCTCCCATCAAAATTATATTTTAAGATCAGGAGGAAAATACATACATTGTAAAACAAATATGATTTATTAATTAACATATTAGTGAAGAAAACAGATCAGTTTCTAGATCATAATTATAAAAAAACATTTGAATTTCTATGGTAACCAATGAAAAAAAGTCTTAGCAAACATCAATTTTATAAATGTTGTTCTTAGGACTATAAGCATTATATGCTACAGTGAAAATAGGAGCCCCTTTCCTCTAAGACTGGGTTGGGGGAATACATCCCAGGAGACTAGCCGATTCCTCAAGAGGAAGCAAGTATGGCAATGAGAAGAAGAAAACAACATATCATTATTTGTAACTATTTTATTTGTGGAAACCCAAACAATCCCCCTACACACTCAAATTACAACTGGAGAGCTTCCCAAAGGTTATTAAAGGGTGCATGCAAGAAGACACTAGAACTTTTTCTTTGTTTGTTGTATTAAAAAGTCATGCTGTGGGCTCTTTCCTGTGTGCGTGTGTTGCAGTTTATAGTAGTAAAAGGCATGTTGAAGGTAGCTAGCTGTAAGCACCCCAAAACTACAGGAGTTAAGTTTGTGTTGACTATGCTTCTCTTGACATCTTCCTTATCTGAATGAAAGGAAAAGAAAGGATCAGAAGAGAGTAGCAGAGTAAGTATTCAAAGGAGAGAAGACAGAGAAGTTGGTTGACTTAGTATCATTCTTCTGTATCCCAAGCACCATGCATCTGCATGGATCTTCCACATGTTACTGCTTTATAGAAAACCTGAACCTATGAGCAAGATGCTATCACCTCAGTTCAACAGAGGAGAAAGCCAAAGCAAATAGGTCTAAATGGCTTGTTCTACCACACAGAGATAGAAACAGGACACCAGTGCCCTTTACCTCACCTTAGAACAAGTCTCCCTAGACCCCAAAATTCCTCATGATGCTGCCTAATAGTTTGGCCATATTCTGAATTTCTTTGTCTTGATGATTCTTATCCCTTATCCTGGTTTTGTTTTGCCTGTTTCTTCCTTCCCAACAGTAGATTTCTTTCTATGTCCTAAGTATGCTTACCCGGTAGCCTCACTCACCACACACACACACACACACACACACACACACACACACACACACACACACACACACGGAGGGACACTTGCATGCTTGGGATGGGGGCAGAGAGAGAGAGAGAGAGAGAGAGAGAGAGAGAGAGAGAGAGAGAGAGA